TCAATTTATTTCTTATTTTTGCGATTTTCTCTATTTTATTTTTCTTACTATATCTTCTCTCAATTTATTTTTCTTCTCATTTTTGATAATTCTTTTGTATTTTTAAAAATAATTTATAAATTTAGGTCCATTTTTTTAACAATTCTTTTTTTTTCCATCAAACTATTCTTTTTATGATTTCATTATAATCTTTTACATACATTTTTAACCTTTTCAATCTCTTTAAGTCATTTTTAATCTTTATTTTTTTGAGTATTTCTCAATTTTGATAATTTTAAAAATAAGAATTTAAAAATGATTATTAATTTACATATCGTTTAGTATTACAGTTCAAACTTATTTAATTTTAAAAAGGTACATTATAACCAAACGATTAATTTATAATTTAGCAATTGTAATTATATTGTCTACCAAAAACATAATATAATTTTAAAAAATATTAAAAATGAGAAGAAATAAATTGAGAAATGCGCAAAAAAAATAAAAATGACTTAAAGAGATTGAAAGGGTTAGAAATGTATGTAAAAGATTACAAAAAAAATCATAAAAAGAATATTGTATGTATGATGAAAAAAAACGTAAAGAATTGTTAAAAAAATGAACCTAAATTTATAAATTAATTTTAAAAATACAAAAGAATTATCAAAAATGAGAAAAAAAATAAATTGAGAGAAGATATAGTAAGAAAAATAAAAGTAAAGATAGAAATAAATTGAGAAAAGATAGTAAGAAAAAAAACGTAAAGTAATAGCAAAAATTTAGAAATAACTTAAGAAGGAATAACAAAAATAAATAAAAATTTAAGAGAAATTGACAAAAAATTTTAAAAAATTACGATTTTCCTTACTTGAATGGGAATTTTCCTTTTTTGATTTGAACTTTTCCTTTCCTTTTGGGAATTTTCTTTTTCGATTGACACTTTTCCTTTTTTGATTGAACCTTTTCCTTTTTTGTATGACACTTTTCCTTTTTTGATCGGACTTTTTCTTTGTTTTGGGAATTTTCCTTTTTTGATTGACACTTTTCCTTTTTTGTTTTGACCTTTTCCTTTTATGATTGAAACTTTTCCTTTTTTGATTGGGAAAACCAGTTTCATTAATATTTTATAAAGATCCATCATCATTAAGATTTTTTTTTTTATAAAAGCATTTTATAAATTTATAAAATCCAAATATAATTATAACCTTGATCATATTATAAAAAAGTATAAGAATCATTTATTTTTATTTCATGGATAACAAATACTGATGCAAACATTAATCATTATAAAAAATAAATTGTTAGAATTGTTGTAGTGAAGGCAATTTTAATCCATATTTTTCTCTATAATTAATTTTTGGAGTTTTTTACAATAATACGAGGTAAAATTTGTTATTTCATATAATAATATTAAGTGAGACCTGATTTTGTCTTGATTCTCTGATAAGTGGGTTGCCTAGGCTTTCGCAGTTTCCCTTATTGAATTCACGTATTTATTTTGTATGTATACTAGGAGTTAACCCTTAGACTAATTGGTAAATCAGAGATTTCCCCTTTAATTAGAAATTTAATATCTCCAGGCTTGAAAAAAATTTTTCAAAATCATTATGGGTTGGACTGGGCAAAATATTCCTCAAACTCAATATTGGCTTGGTTTTCAAAATTATCAGGGATATAGCTGGGCTTGATAAAATTTTTTTTGAAATTATTAAGATCTTGGATGCTTGGAAAGTTTTTCTAAATATTGTGGGCCTGAACCTAGTTTGGGATTTTTTAATGTTAAATTTAGTCTTATGTACAGTAATATTTTTTATAAAGAAATATATTTTGATTCAAAAAATAGATTTCAGTAACCTACAAAATGTAGACATCAATTTTTTAAAAAAATTAGCCTAAATTTAGATTGCAAGAAAAACAAAAAAATATGTAAATAAATTGCATATAAGTTTCATTAGTATTGAATGGCATTTTTGTAATTTAAATAGATAGCATTTTTTTACTTAACATAAAGATATAGATAACCCCTTATCAAATTCTTTGATAAATAATTCACTAAATTTATCTGAAAAACAACAATAACCCAATATAATAAACAACAATTTATTTTTTTAGATATAATTTTAATTGGTCATAGTACAAAAACATTTATTTTTATTTCATGGATAACAAATAATGATACAAATATTAACATATTGTTGATAATCCTCTATTATATAATGTGGTTACAAAATATTAGGTACTTTTACAGACATATCTGACAGTTATAGAATATATTACTGTTATGTTTTAATAAAATTTACTAATCAATGCTTTTGATAATGAATATAAGTAATAATTTGCATTCAATTCTTTAACAGCTTCTATTTATTTTAATAAAAAAGTATTATTTAAAATTAAACATCTAATTATTAATCTCACTATGGATGTAATCATTTTTAGATATCTTTTTTCCTTTCTCCTTTTTTTAATGTGTTTTTAGGAAAGCTATTTTTTTCTTCTTTAAAAAACAGTTTTGAGTTAAATTAATACGAATATATTTTTGATATTTCAAACTACTATTATTTTAAGACATAATATACCAACTAGAGGTGGTGCGACAATAATTTATATAATCCCTCTGGTCCTTATTCATTTCTAATATTGCATCATAACCATGTAAATAACTCAAAGCTTTAATATATTTGCATAATTATTTCTTCTAAAGATTTTTAGTGTTTTTGTTTTATCAATTTGTCTAACATAATAAATTCTGATATAAGTTTACATCGTGAACATCATGGACATGCCTGCAGGCTAACCAGCATCTATTATTTGTGTCACTATATAATTTAAGATTATTACTACTGCTGCTAAGAGCAATTTTATTGCAATATTTAGATAAGCAAAAATAGTCAACTGTCTAGTCGTTTATATATCATTAAAAATGGGAGCTAATCTTTTAGAAATTTTATATCTCACAATAATTTTCTCGATTACTTATTTAGCTTCCATAATGTTATTTAAGAGGAAACTCGAACCACCATATAGTTTTATGATTCGGGATAGTCGTTTTATTCTATTCTTCAAGAAATGATTTTGTTAGCCTATAAATTTTTCCTTATTTGTCTTGTCTAGAATGGTAACACAACCTTATTTAAATTTCATGGCCTTTTTTCAATGTAGGTTGCTAAGAATTATATTGCCTTGTGCTGTTTTCAAAAACCATTATCAATTAAGGCAGTGTATTAATATTTTTTATCACTTGTAATTCTTTAGACGCAAAATATTTTTATATCCGTAATCGAAATTTTTTAATATTGTAATAAATAGAGAAATATTTTGTATTAAAAAATATTATTTTTAGAAATTTTTATTTTCCTGTTATTGGTTGCTTTATTTGATTAGTAGCTGATAAAATATGTAGACAAAAGGTAATAGCATATAATTAATTTTTTCTAATATAAAATTATAAAGGGAAAAATATAATTTAAATATTTAATTTATGAAAAAGGATAAGGGTCAAAAGAATGTAAACTAGGAAAGAGAAGGGAAGAAGGAAAGCATAGACATGGAAGATTATTCAATGGAAGAGATAAAACTTAGATAGTTAGAGCGAATAATGGCGGCAGCAAGTCTTTGAAGAAAAGAGATTCCTTAGGCTGATCGGTTTTTCACGAATCCGTTTGCCTAAATCTTAAAAAAAACATAGAACTTTGTTATCGAAGGTGGTGAGAATGGAGGAGGCGATGGGTATGAATAATAGAGAAGAGTATTTGAAACTGTATTAGGTGATTTTACGGAATTCTGCAAGAACGAGGGCGTCAACGTTGTGGTTAGATGGTGCGTTTGGATCAATGCAGGAGAAGTCTCAAACCAGGAGCTGATTCTATGATAAGGACATTCCATTAGGACGCTTTCCATTGGTTCTAAAATGCCGGGTTGGTTCAAGTCTAAATAGAATGCCTGCGGATTTGAGGGAACGTAATATGATATCATTGCAGAGGGTATGGTTTCAATAAACTCGTAATCAGATCCTTGGTTCAATTGGTGAAAAATTGCGAGATCGTCACCGTAAAGGCTCGATTTTAGATAAGTGATGGGTTAAGTAGAGTATCCCAATCTCTTTGTGAACATAAGAAGAGACGTGGAGTGTTTGGGACAACTTGGGTTTCAGATAATAAGGGGCCAGAAAAGTGAGAGAGCTAGCTAATGTGTGAGTCAGATGAAAGACGTGAAGCGATGAATCTACTAATGGAAAGAGTTAGAGGTGAGTGTAACCCCATACCCCCGAGCTTGCATAGAAGTGATGCTTGTAACCATGAATTATGATTGAAGCGGAGATTAAGGATCTCTTCAGCAGGAGATTTGATGGAAGTTTCGAATGATTTTAGTGAGTAGGGAATTTATGTATTGTATTTTTTTACTTTCATTTGTATGCATAATAAATGACAAAATATGAAATTCAGACAGAGTTCGCAAATTTCAATTAAAAAATGTAAGAAATTAATATAAAACCCGGCGGGGAAAATAGGAATTATGCGGGAAAAGCCCCCATAAAAACTTTTTACCTGTAAAGATTTTAAGGAATATGTAACAAAGAATAAAAATTTAATAATAACTCGTTTCTGCATATTCCAAAGAGTTAATAATAACATAATCTTCTAAAAAATATGAATAAAAATATGTGCGGATGTTTTAAATAGTATCTATCAATTTATATTAAAAAAAATTATATACGATCTTAAAAAATTAATATTATTTATAATCTTTTTTGAATTATGGTTAAATTCTCCCGCTTTTTGTTTGAATGAATCTGGCAACCCTACTTAGAACCCCCCAATAAAATTTATAGGAAAAACCCCACCCAATGGTGCTCCCTCTCCAAATTTTGGTTACGCATTCAATTTACTATAAAATTTTGAATTACTTATTTTGAATAAACTATATAATATTCTATTTAATTTTTTTTATTTTTTGATTTATATAAAATAATAATATCATCATAATCAAATTAAAAATAAATAGTTATACATTTTGTTGAATTTAAAGTTATTTAATAAATTTTTCTGGGGTCAATATCGATGTTTATATATCACATGTTTTTGTAAATAATAAAAGAACAAAGAGAAGGAAAATAGAATTGGCAATGGATGTCATATTGCTTGAAGCTGAATTCACTTGCCCTGTGTAATTGATATTTTTCATAATTTATATAATTATCTTTAAAAATTTTAATTTATTTCTTAAATTTTGAATAATTAAATATCGAATATTTTAAAAGTTAATAACTTATTAATCATATAATTGATCTCAAAATGATAGTTTAATTTTAAAGGATCTAAGAATGATATGCTATAAAATATTTTACATATTTTACAATCTTTAATATATTTTATTAATCAGAATAAAAATAAATTAAAAAAATTGTTTATCTGGTGATAATGCAGCAATCAATTCGGTCTCCCGCATTTCCTGTTTTTAAACTTTCTTCATTGCCACCTTTTCCCAAATCGTCTTTATTTTTATGAACCTAAATAGATGTAAGATAAAAGTGAAAAATTATTTGAGGATTCATGATAGTTTGATTTAAAATTTTTACCACTATAGCTCGATTTAAGATTGAAAAACGGCTAGCTGGATCTAAACTAATTATGTTATCTTTTATATTTATTTTAGCTTCTCCGCTTTGACTTGCTTCGATGTTTCCCAAATCCCCTACATGTCTACATTTAAGATCCAAAATATTAACATAGGATAAAAAATTACCTAATAAGGGAATCAGGGCTTCCATGAGTCAAACCAGTGGGATTAAAGTGTATTCCAGAGGCAAGGCATTCTAGAATATGCAAAAATATTTTATTTTCTAAATTTTACGTTTTCAAACCTCTGCTTAAATTTCCATATTGATGAACGTGAAAACCATGTAATCCTGGGGTTAATCCTTTGATATAACCATCTAAGGTAACACTTCCATTATCCTAAAAAAAATTTTTTTAATTTTAATTTATTTACTTTTGTATATTAACTAAATTATTTTTATAAGATATCAAACCAATATTTCAACTTAATATGGAAGCACGCGACACTAATCATTCATAGCATTTTGATGCAGGAATGTTATATTTATAAGAAAATGGCCTCTTTATACTAATAATAAAATTATCGATATTTTAAAAAAATCCCTGGCTATGTATGATAAGGAGTTAATATAAAATATTTGAGATGCTAATAAATGAATTAAATCTAACTGAAACCAAAAATTTAGTAAAAGAGTAGCATTAGAAGATATAATAAAAATGTAGCTGGCTTGGACAAACATATATTTAGTTAAAAATTAAATTGGTATCATAATGATTAAATTTTTATTTAATACCTAAAAATATAAATAAAGTACCATTTATTACATAAAATAAGAGGATATTTTTCAATTTATTCAAAATTAATTAATTTATAAACAAACACTATCGATAAATATTTAAAATAAACAAGAAAACTTAATGACTCACAAATAAACTAATAATCATTATTATTATTTTCACTTTAATTTATATTCTTTCAGCAATTATGAAAAAAAATGTAGCAATCTTTGAATATAAAGGTTTTTATTTGTTTAAATAGATAATCTCGCAGCCTCTCCCTAACTTGCTTAAACCAACCAATTTGTCAACAGATGCCAAATTAAGACTAGACGCTCTGACCAAAATTACATGGGCTCTGGGAAATCCATTTGTATTTTACTTCCATTTCAACATTCCCAGCAAATATTAATACAAATCCGTTTACAATAAAAAAATACGAAAATTTAACAAATTATTAATTCAACCCATTTTGCGATTTTTTACACCTCTATTTATATATTTTTTATAAGAGTGTTAAAAATTATTATAAAAATTTTATTATACCTTTAAATCATTCATAACGCTTTTAATAAGGCTAAAATATCCAACATCCTTAAACCTACCAACCTCTCATTACAGGACGGCTTCAGACCCGACCGTTTAACCTGCACCCCCTGGTCCAATGGGAAATCCCTTATCTGGGATGCAACCTGCGTCTTCTCCTTTCCTTCATCAATTTTTTAAAACCCTCTTACTTATGGGGAAAATAAAAAAATAAAAAAATATTCAAAATTAAATAACTTTATATTTCAGCCAATAGTCATATTAACTAATGGCTATTTTTTACAATCTACACATTTTTTTAAAAAATTTTAACATAGCAAAAGAAAATCGCGAATCCTTATTTCTTAAACAAAAACTCCAACTAGAAATTTTTAAACACAATTATATTTGTTTTTTAGGTACATATTCATTATTAAATTAAGTCGATATTAATAATATATAATATTTATTTAGTAATTTTTAGTGTTGTTAAATTACCTATTGACCATCTCTATTGTGGCTTAGTCAAGCATTTAGCCTAAAAAAATAAATTAAGCTTCTAAGTTGAGTCTCAATTTTAAGATGGATTTGGAAGATTTTTGATTCAATACATGGCTACACTGTTTTATAGTTGACTAAAGTTAGATAGTTTAACACTAGTAATTTTACATATTTTTATACTTGTTTTAATATTTTAGTGTTTTATCATTTTTTAAATAAATAAAAAGTATCAAATATAAAAAAAGTTTTTTTTAATGAAAGTCGCTGAATAAAAGAAAATATAGAAAGTGTAAAATGGTGATAAAAAGAAAATACAATTTATACTATATGTCTTAATTTTTAAAGGGGTCAGAACTATCCGGGATCATCATGAGTTTTAAAGGGATCCCTTTAAGAATTCAATTATTTAAAGGATAAAGAACTGTACGTTATTATCACGTTTGAACCATGATATAGAAGAATCTTAATTTAAAACGCGTTTTGCTTTATTTTTTTAAAATTAATTGTTATTTATTTATTTTCAATGTTGTTTTTTTGGCCTTATGAAATAAGATATGTCTAATATAGGGTATCAATCGATAGCTAATCAAAATATCTATTCAATTGGAGGTCAATCACACTTTTATCAAACAAAATAGGGTATCAAATAATAGATAACTTTAATATCTTTTGACTGAAAGTCTTCATTCTTGGTCTTGATGGGTATGACTTGGTCTGGGAGGTAGATGGAGGGGGGAGGGGTGTAAAAAATAATTTTTTTTGATATGGGTATCAAATAAAAGGTAAGGAAGACCAGGGTAAAATGATAGGCATTTTGCATATTTACCATAAAATTTTAAACAAGAGTACACAACAAATTATAGATCAATGTGTCTCCCCATCCCTCATTCACAAGATAAAAAAAAAGTGTAGCCCTCTATCTATAATATTCTAGGAGCTATGATTAGTTATGTCAAACTACTCATTTTAGCCATTTTACCCTGGGTTCAGGGTAAAATAGATAAGCACGTTGGTAAAATAAAATTTGACACATATCTATTGTTTTATTTAACAAATATTACAAATCTAAGATATATTTATGATTTTTATTTACAAACTAATCAATACAATAAGGACATGTTTCATTTTAATAATTACCAATACCAGTTCTATAGACTTAAAATGATATATATCATAATTTTAATAATGCTAAATTCAAATATCAATATTAATTTGGTAACTTAAATAAAAATGTTCAATTGAAATATATATATTGTATTCTTAATTTTAATAATTCTCAATTCAAATATCAATATTAATTTGGTAACTTTAATAAAAATGCTCAATTCAAATATATATTGTATTTCATAATTTTAATAATGCTCAATTCAATAATATTAATTTGGTAACTTTATTAGTAATGCTAAATTGAAATAATTTCATAATTTTAATAATCAAATCAAATATTAATTTGCTTTTAATATGTAGTCACACGATCTAAATTCTTCTTCATTTGTAAATATTTGTTTATGATGATCTGAACTTTTAATCCATTTTTAACGTTGTATAAGGTATATTATATTTTTTAGCAGAAAAATTAATGAAGTATTATTTGTTATTTTATATTTTATGGCTTCATCTTTTATACATACATCTCTGAATATTCATTCATTACCACGCCTAGAAATTGCACGAAGTGCAATTTCATCACCCACCAGGAGTTGGGCGTGCACCAAGTATATTCACTAGTATATAGATCCTATACATGATGTATATCCGCTTTATTCTGAATATGGTTTTTCTTTTATAATTTCTCATTATTATAATAAATGAATGAATGAAAAAATTAATGTGATTATATATATTAATCATTTTACCCATAACAGCTTTACCTTAAGGTGGCATATATTATAAATATCGTTATTGCCTGACTTCTAGTATATCTATAGATGTCAGATAAATTTTATTTTATAGCTAATACATTAAAGAACATGTGTGCCAAATTTTGAATCCTGAGGTTATGTATATTTTACTAAAAGCAAAATATACTAAAGAATGATTTTTATATTTTATGGGTAAAAAACAGTTTTTTGACAAAATATATAAAACCAAGTAGGTTAAAAGATGAACATAGGTAAGAAACTAGATATAAAAATACATCTTCACACCAAATTTAAAATCTTTGTGCTCGAGGATTAAAAAGTTATTCGCGTTAACATTGTTCCCCCTTCAATCGCTTTACTCTGGTCTCCCCTAATTAAAATATTTTTTTTGTAATAATAATATTCACTCATAGAAGGTGTGTCTAGGTCATGGGGGGGTCAGGAATATTTTTATCAACACAAAATATCTATATAGATATCAAATAAGAGCTAATTCAAATATCTTTAGATTGAAAGTATTCATTTTTTGTCTTGATGGGTATGACTTGGTCTGGATGGTGGATTGAGAGGGAGGGGGGGGGGGGGTGTAAAAAATAATTTTTTTTGATATGGGTATCAAATAAAAGTAATTTTTAATAATAATAATCACTCATAGAGGGCGGGTCTAGGTCTTAGATATTTAAATAAGCTTTTATTTGATACCCATATCGATATTTTGTGTTGATAAAAAAATTCCTGACTCCCCAAGACCTAAACCCGCCCTCTATAAGTGATTATTTATATTACAATATAAAAATATTTTAATTACCTTTTATTTGATACCCATATCAGAAAAAAATATTTTTTTGCCCCCATCCTTCCCCCTTCTATCGTCCTCCCAGACAAAATCATACCCATCAAGACCAAGAATGAAGACTTTCAGTCAAAAGATATTAAAGTTATCTATTATTTGATACCCATATCGATATTTTATTTTGATAAAAATATTCCTCACCCTTCCACCCCCCCCCCCCAGACCTAGACTCACCCATTAAGGGGGTGACCTCCAGTTGAATAGATCTTTTGATTAGCTATCGATTGATATTCTATATTAGACATATCTTATTTTATAAGGCCAAAAAAAACAACATTGAAAATTAATAAATAACAATAAAAATAAAAGGAAATAAAACGAAACGAAACGTGTATAAAACGCTTTTTAAAATAAGATTCTTCTTTATCACGATTAAATCGTGATAGTACTTTATTATCATTCCTTAACTTAAAACCTTAATTTTTTAGTAGATTCCTTTAAAACCCGTGATGATCCCGGATAGTTTTGATCTCTTTAAAAATCACGACATATACAAAGAAAAATAGTTGTTTCAGTTAAAAAGAGTAATTTAAAACATTAAGATTTGATTTTAAATTTTATTTTATAAATTTCTACATAAAAATTTTTGTATGTCATAAATATTAGTGTTAAATTTTAATCAGCTAAAAATATAATTATTTATGCATCTAAAAAATAAAATGACGAAGCCAAGGAATCGATTAAAACATAAACAGAGCTATAGATATTGATTGAGATCCTTTGACGTAACAGAAACCCTCATTTGTCTAATATTAGCTTGCGCTTTTGTCTATTAAAATTTAAAGGCGAGATCCCAATAATATGATGGCAAATGAAGAAAACTTGTATACATTGTATTTATTTAGAATTTTCTGCAGGATGGAGTTGAATAAACAATATAA